ATCATCAATTGTGAGATTTCAACCAATTCCCAACACTACCGGGTACCCATTTTCAATTGGGTGAACAGTGGCAATTTGGAACAAACTCACTTGCCTCAGGTGAGACGATCTAGCGTGCTTTATTGTAGTTATAGCACAATCTTTGCGATCAGTGCAGAGGATATCTGTAGTAACAACAGAACAATACACTATAAACACTTGTATAAACACATTGTACATACCAATTTATTGCATAAACATACCACTTAATCTCCTTAATCTCTGTACATCTCAATCTTTCAATTCCATCTCACTGGCTCCCTTTACGTACTATATATTTTGTTTGTAAATCACCTCTCTCATTCACCTGATGAAGGGACAAGACGTAGCCCAGAAACGTCGTGTTGTAATTAATAAAGAAGTTGTAATCCATATCATATGTTGTTATACATTAGGGGTGGGTATTGCAGAGAATTTTCATATTGCGATGCGAAAGCATATATTGCGATATGTATTGCAATATATTGCAAGAAGTATTTTTAAACAAAAAAACTACTTATAATCGAGTTAATGCTTGATTTTTAAAGCATGAACACAACAAAATCACTATGCTTGATTAAGCTTTAATAAAAACTTTTAATCATGACAAAATTAAAATGTAAATAGTATTTGGCACAAATGAAACAAGGAAATATCCGAAGATTTCTGAGTGTTACGAAGTTTTCCGAATGCAAGTCAAAATACCGGTTTTCGATCAGCGTATCGCAATGCGTATCGTTTTCATGTCTGAACCGGTAAATACCGGTAAACCGGTTATATTGAGCAGCCCTATTATACATACACTACATTGTGAGATCAAGCAGACAGCTTCCCACATGGAGTTGCAGTGTAGGTTGAAAGTATTTTGGCCTACTTGGCTCATCAACGCTTCACATTCCTCTACTTCAAGATGCACAACATGCAAAAGGCGATGCCGACATGCGAGATCCAGTAGACAGCTTCCCACACTGTGATGTTGTACTGGTGTAGATGTTGAAACTATGTTTGCCCACTTGCAATAAACTGTCATCAAAGCTTCTACTCGCTCCAGTTCCTTCACTTCAGGATTCCCACATACACAAAACAATGCGTAGTCACTTCCAGTGTCCCCTGGGGCGGTGGGGTACCCTGCAGCTGATGGTTAAAGTGTTCGCTCGTCACGCCGAAGACCCGGTTCGAATTCCACATGGGTACAGTGTGTGAAGCCTATTTCTGGTGTCCCCCGCCGTGATATTGCTGGAATATTGCTAAAAGCGGCGTAAAACCATGCTCACTCACTCACTCTTGTGTCCTCCAGAGCAATAGACAAACCATCAACACAGAACATTTCAAACAATACAAAACGCACATGGTTTCATATTAGGCGAATACTTTATTTTCAAAATCATTCAGTCAAATATCATGTACTTATACAACCAGTTCTATCGTACATATCAGAGTATATCAATCATATAAAAACAAGTGAACAACGGTGTAGGTCAGGTCTACGTGTATGGGGTTGTGTGTTCTACAGCAATGGCTGACAGCATCTCCACGCCGATACCAAGGATGACTACAATGGCGTCTTTCGCTGTCCACTTCCTCCGTAAAACCCCTGTTGCTGCATTAATATCAGAAATATTGAGCAACAGTTTTTGACAAAGATAACTGACAAGGCAAGGATCCGTATAAAGTGAAACCCCGTTAAACCGGACGTTCGCAAAAACTCGTTCGGATTAACAAATATCCAGATTAACAAATCACTTGTGTAACGAAAAGTTTTGAACAGTAAGTGTCACAGCGGTGGTTGGCGTGTCCGGACGTACAGGTTCTGGATTAACGGGGTGTCACTGTACTGATCTTTCCGGCTAGGGCATATAACCATAGTTAGGTTTATTAACCAAATAAGGCCAGACATATTGAGGGGCGGGTTACGGATTTTGATAGAGATATATTTGATCGATAGGGCATCACATAAGATACAAATGCACAGGGAGTTTTTAATCACCCCATGGTTTGATTTGGATCGGTAATACAAATATACTGACGATTTACAGTTAAAATCGTCTTTCACAGTTTTAGTCATAAACAATCCTCGGATTGTTCTTATTGTCAGAGGAATCTTAAACTTGCTATTGTGACAGCATATCGTTCTGAATTTCGATTTTAAAATCTGCGAATCCGTGAACCAATCAAAAGATGTAAGGCCTAATATATGTTAGATAGAGAATTTAACACACACACCGTGTTCAATCACTGTACCACGCTGGCGCGAAGGATTGTGTACATCATTGAAATAATGATTAAAAGAAAACGTTTTCCACATTTCTATTTCAAAGTGCTTAATAAATAAAACAGCAGCTGACTAACCTGTGACAAATGTTGGGATCGGAATTCGCTTAGGTTGAAAGGAGACCAAGCTTAATTTTGAAATAGCATTTAACCGTAAAATAAGACCTAGAGAGAGTGACATAAATGAAACACTTGGGGTAGTGTACTAGATTATTAGGAATATATAATATATTGTTGAGGTCAGAACAGGCTTATTTCCACTTATTAAACTTTGAGCTGAACAGTCGATAATGAGATGTGACTATACGTTTGTACCATGTGATGAGGTCAGAAATACCGGGTATAAAAGCTTCATTCAAAAGCCTTTTAAGTACAAAACAGGTTGAAATCATGGTGAAAACGATTTTATCAAACTGCAGCAACTATTGAAAATGTAAAATTACAAAGTTGCAAAATCACTGCATGTTCTACCAACACTATTCCTTCATGAAAAACAACGGGTCGATATCTAAGGGAGGTAACTCGTGGAGCATTAGTGCTCTATATTTAGCTTGTACAATATGATCTAACCATTCGTTTGCTGTGGAAATGACCATAAGAGTGGTTTGGTTTTAACACACGTGGATGTTTTCAGTACCAAACACACGTTTCCGAACTTGAGGGCCATCTATTTTCAGATCATATGTTTTGTTATAAATACACTAGTCTTATTCAATCACAATCAAATTCCATCTTCTCTGTCTCAACTTAAAACGACGTAATGGTATTTACGACTTAACAACACTCCCCAGAAATAAATAAACAAATTTATCACAGTGAGATACTTATGGTAAACGGTAAATAAAATTCAACACACTCTGGTTTCGACTGAATAATGAAATTCTTGAAAAATAAGCACTTACGATAGACGATCTTTTGAAATGCTGAAAACGTAATTGAAAAACTTATTGAATATTGTATATCAGTTATTTATACTTAATTATAGTAGAGGTGTGACGATACTTTAAGGCCACGATACATGTACGATACATATCCCGATAATATGGCGGCGATACGATACGTTTCACGATACCGTACGGTGTTTCATATGTTTTAAGGGAGTTCATATTCTCTTATTTTTGGTGAAACCCAAACCAGAATGAATTGTTTTAAAATTTCAGACAGCAAAGATAAGATAGTGCTTGGGTGAAATATACAATCTTGGAAGCGCTGTGCAAAATTTTCTATTTACAGGCAACCAAGAACTAGAGATTCTGTATAATCTGGTTCATTCACATGCTTTTACATCGGTATACCGTCTAACGTATCGTATGCATTGCGATAGATGAGTTATAAATCGATATATCGTGAGCCTCGTATCGCGATACGATATCGTACTGCCGTATCGATACACCACTACAGGGGTACTGATTACCTTTCTTACATTGTATCATGGTGCGTGCTCAGCAAATGTTAGTCAGTTACTCTAAGGGACTCGCCTACACACACACACATTGTCCGTTGCATATTGAGTGACATGTACATGCAATATCGTCTCTCGAGTCACACAAAACAGTGTGTAACACCTGAAACGACATGACATCGATTAGTATAGCTACTACAAAAACATCGACCCGTTCGACTGGTAAACATGCCTGAGAAAAAAATGTCATTCTCATTGACAAAGTTGATCACGTTAATCTAATCCCGTTAATCCACCTTCTGACATCAGTGCGAGTGTGAATGCAGTTTTTTTATTTTTGGGGTTGTTTTTTTGTTTTTTGTAATAGCCAAACCATATAACTGGGGAATACGAATGGATTCAAACCCAGGAACTTCTCGTTGTGAACGCTGTCACCACAAGGCTACCTCATCGTCATCAGAGGCAGGTGGGTGTTCGCCGACTGCATATTTCAAATATGGTCAATCAACATAACATATATAACTTCATATATATTTTTGATGCATTTTTTTCTTAGATTGTTTACCAGTGCAAAGCTATCTCCGCTACTAGTATTGCAACCCTTCACACTCAGTAGGGAAGTTCTCCATAGCCTAACGCTAAGTTCGCTTTGTGAACATGGTCCAGGTAGCCAATATTATGCGGTGAGAAAAAGTGAGTCTCAGAAAAAAGTGAAATATGTACATACTAATGAATCTGTTTTGAAAAAACCAACACAACATCACGACAAATGAAACTATCAAGTTAGTACCTTGCATATTCGTTTACATTCATTTCCTATGTTTGGAAATTTGTGTTCATTCAAGTACCAAGCAAATGAGGGACTATATACTGACAGATTTTTAAAACGCAACATTATGATTTTTCTTATTTAGATTAAATGTTTCAGTCAGCGAAAAAAAAGTAATACGATGTTTCCGAGTATGAATGTGTGTACAAATAAACTGAGGGACAAAAGAAATTATATCGAGTTTCTGTTTTATGTTAAATGAAACAACCGTTGTTAAATTTGATTATGTCTAGAACTCATTTTACATCAGCAATTATGCTTAATTTGTTGTTTTTTCTTTATCAAAACGTTTTAATTTGAAAATAAAGTTTTACAAATGAAATCATTAAGAAATATTCTTTCATTGTCGAGTTATCGCCTGTATAATTCCTTTTAGGGAGTCGTGGATAAAGCAATTCTAACGTAAGATATATTCAGCTGTAAGTCAAGCATATGACAAATTCAATAAGGAGGTACAGTTTCTTTTGCGCGTCAGTATACTTTCATTGTATTGAAGTGAGGCAGTTACGATGGGACGTATCAGTCAAATCGGAGTCGTTTTTGCTTTCTGTCCAGAAATCAACCAAAATCGATCATAACTGGACAAAACTGGACAACTAGAGACCACTTTGCTGGCAATGCCATCCAACAGAGCTCGTATTTCATATAGTTATACCTAATACACACATGTATATTAAAATACTGTCATTTATTACTTTTTCAGACTGCAATGATACGTAGCATCAACGATGCTTTGTATACTGTATTCATATTGTGTACCACAGTCGTGGGTCAGTGAGGATGTGATTAAGTGAGTCTGGTTTAATGTCAGTATTCCATTTACATATTTGCTTGATGTTGGGGTGAAGTGAGTGAGTGAGTTTATTTTTACGCCGCTTTTAGCAATATTCCAGCAATATCACGGCGAGGGACACCGGAAATGGGCTTCACACATTGCACCCATGTGGGGAATCGAACCCGGGTCTTCGGCGTGACGAGCGAACGCTTTAACCACTAGGCTACCCCACCACCCCGATGTGAAAGTGGTCCAAGTCTCAGCAGAGTGTGACTTTCGTGAAACCCGTGGAATTTACAAACCTTGAAACATGACCAGGGGTAATCAGAGATTCAACATCATGGTCATATGTTCCTGGCTCATCTACGGGACGTAACTCTGCACATTGAACTACAGTGCCTGAGGCGACGTGGCCACCAAAGCCTACGAGTGTGTATGGGTTTACGCCGCTTTTAGCAATAATCCAGCAACATCACGGCGGGGGACACCAGAAACGGGCTTCACACATTGTGCCCTTGTGGGGATTCAAACCCGGGTCTTCGGCGTGACGAGCGGACGCTTTAACCATTAGGCTACCCCACCCCCGCCTACATATGTGACAGTATGCAATGGCAAGTATTAAATATAGCAGTTGATGTTTTGTTGGCTGATGTCCTTCATGGCAAAAGTGTTGTTAGTTTTCATTAACTTCAGGATAGCAATCAGTTATTGCTATTGATCTCAAAGGGATAGTGAGAGGGTTATCGTTCTTAACTCTATAAGCAATATTCAATGCATTCCGGGGCGGGGATATATCAAAGCTGGCTCGTCGGGCGAACGTACGCTTTAACCACCTACCACCCCTTCGGCACATCATACAGATGGATACAAAACTGTGAAGAGGAATAGTTGAAATAATCATATCCTCGACAACAGCTGATTAATAGCATAGCAAGACATTGGAGTTGTTTGTAACAGCATGGGATTCATTTACACATAGAAAGGAGAAAAATGTTAGATTTTGGCATTCGGAGTTCCTGCAAGACAAGAAAGAAGAAAGAACGTACATATGGTAACATTTCGGCCATCATGCCTTGTAAGAAACCAACAATATATAGAACATATTGCTTCACAAATTGCTCTGCAAGAAACTCAGTAGTAATGATAATACAACTAGTAACAAGCATAAGAATAAGCATTATAACCATGGCACAGGAATATGTAAAATCGATCAACAAAAATAACTAGCGCATGACGTCAGACATGTTTTAGTTAATAAAAACAATTAAATAGATAACAAGATAGTGTCATAAACGTAACTAACATAATCTCAAACCATTTTGAAATTAACCCACTTAATTAACTTGTCTGGTTGTGTTTTCAAACTGAAACAAGGAACTTGGTAAATCGTCTTCACGTAAATTACAGGTTTACAAATAACGTATTCCCGATGAAAGCTACTGAAGTGTTCTCAAAGTATGTTTGGAAGAGATACGAAGTTTGATGGCTACATACTTGTGGATTCATCATCATTACATGTCTTCATTGAAAATAGTTGCACTAATAAATTAAGCTCCATTCCTTTGAACTTGGGGTGTTATCACAGACAAATTTCTTGAATAGAAGTATCATTAATATGTATCATCCTTATCGCAGGAAGTTGCAGAAACAATAATAAACAAGTCAATTTCATGGAAACATTTCTCTGAAGATTTTGTTCCGAACGATCAACGTACTTTTTCCGTGTTAAAATATCATAATAATATCACTTATAGACAATACAAGATACGGTCTTCCATCATGGACATTTAAGGGAAGGTGAATATTCGTCCAACAAAGTTGAGACTTCAAAGTTGAGACAATCGAAATTAAATACCATATTTTGCACATCATTGATGTAATGTGACTTATGTACAATAAATGTACTCAATTCGGGAGATCAACATGGTTCGCTTCGTTTGTCTCTTCAACATTGTGGTAGCTGAATTGCGTCGTTGAAAATGGGATGATTAAAGCATCTCTATGCGTCTGTTGTAGATTCAAGGATGAACATGAATTACTAGAGTGCACATGCTCATAAAGAAGTAGCACGCCATTGGTACCAAAACTACCTATCAATATGCTTCACATATAAAGAAGGTAAGAACAGTTCTAACCCTATACACTATCCTATCCATTGAAAGGTATTTGTGTAATACATAAGACTGTTAATTAAAAGTGAAAAGTGAAAAGTGTTGAAGATTGAGACAATTAATACATTTTGTCATAAGTATCACTAGTAAAATTCAAGAGTGCTGATGGTAAAATCGTGTATGAAAAAGTGTGTGAAACGTTACCAGTTCTTGTGCTGTCACAAGATCCTACACATCAACTCACATATCTAGGGCTGGGTACTGGTTTCTGGCTCAAATTAAATCCACAATTCCAAAACAAACTCCAAAATTACGAAATGTCATTCATCGGGGAATGTAGAAGAGTATGACTGTAAAGAAAAACGACATTGAGGCTTGCAGCGATGACGTCATCACTGATAACACACGATCAACGTGATGAGCGTATATCACCCTGCGCATCCGTACGGGCACAGGAGTCGGGTGGCCTTGTATCATTCCTTAACATCCCTTATCAAAATTGCGACACACAATATGATGGCGTTGAAACGTCGGTTGTTTTTCCGGTAGCGCATTTTGTTCATATTTGCTGTAACTGCAAACAATGTCAAAAGTAATCTCGAACCGAATGGCATATGAAACACGCTAACTACTGTATGTTCCAAAGTCAGAACTGCTTTGTCAGTAGATCCATACAAAGAAATGAGTTAAATTCTACTGTAGTTCTTTCAACCAGGAGTCACTCAAATATACTGCACCCTGCATTGACAAATCCCCTGGAGATCCTCTGGAGATCCCGAGAGATCCTTGTCATCGATGACCAAAGTAAGACGACACTGACGTTATACTATTACATGTTGCATCTGAAGGTCCTTTGTGCAAATGATTTTCGAGACTACCTCCTTCGACGATCCAGAACACAAATTCATGTCGCTGCAAATGATGTTTTGGTGCCAGGCTGTAACACAATATCATAACTAGCAGGCAATCACGACCTTCATACTTCGGAGACAACCCTGAGATGATAATGTGTTGCAAATAACCCGTTTCAAATCAGACAGTTCTTTATCCAGAGTGGAGGTGTTGTACAGATTTATTTCTCCCATTGTCGTGTCTCGCAGGAATCGTTGAATATTTTTTGACGTCGTGAGGACATTGTTCTGACTTGCAGCGGCATTGTCCGGGAACTTCCGGTCAAATCAGGAAAGAAGGAAGAAGAGGACGATGACGACAACGGCAACAAAGAAGAAGAAACCTAGCCAGACAGATATTGTGAAGCAGGTGACGACTCGGGGGTTGGACTTGGCTTCTGATTCCGACTGAAAGAAAACAAAAGTTGATTATAACATGTTCGTAAAATGACAAAGTGAATATTACAGATGGGGGACCATCTAACAGCTGCCCAATGAAAAGTCGAATAATAACGGGTGAGGTGAGGTGAAATGGGGTTTAACGGCGCACTTCAGAATATTTCGCTCACATGACGACGTGCATGCGTGTGTATGTGTGGCTGCTTGTACTACCCCAGACTTAAGCTGGTTTCATAGTGCTAGCTCACTGAGATAACATGTAGTTAAGCACTCAGACACATTATACTGATTCCAAGCCGACCAGTCCTTGTTGTACCCATAAATGCAGAGCGCCAGGCAGGGACCAACAAGTACTATATTGCAACGTCTTTTGGTATGACGCGGCCGGGGATCGAACCCACGACCTTCCGCTCTCCGGGCGGACACTCTAACCACTATACCACGGAGGCGGTTCCAATAATAACGGAGGAGGTTGAGTAAAAGACTGATCTGAACATGTCAGCTCTTAATTGTTCGTTCTGTCGGTACATGATTAAAGATAAATTTTTACTCAGTGTGGAGACAGTTGCTGCTTGGTTGAATGTTGCTGAAAGCTACACACATCAGGTGTCCATTAGCGATATACCAGTGATAGACATCATGAGCATCGATCTACGCAAATGGGAAACGATATGATATGCAAGTCAGACAAACCGATCTGTGACCTTTTATGGCAAACTTTTGTTAATGAGAAAAATTCAAACTTAAACCTTAGTGGATAGGGGATAGTTTGAAACCAATATTTGTAAAGAACGATATCTGTGGTCGGCGATGTTCATGTGTTTGTATTGTGGCTCTCAAGTGATATAAGACCAGGAATAGCAGCGACTAGCAATACATGGACACTACAGTGTAGACAATTAATGCCGTGATCACGCAGAGAATATAGTTTTTCAGTGAATGATCAATGACGATTTCATGGTCTAAGATTATTCTGACACAGAGAGTATAGTAGATTATGTTTTAAGCTTGGTAAGTATGGATCTGTACATTGAACTTGGACTGTTTACATGACGCCAGGGGTCGATATATAAGGAGCATTCAATCAATAAAGACACAATAGGTGCTCGATTTAGAACCAGAGACCTGTCCAGTAAGGACTTGTGTACAGGCTAGGTCAACTGAAGAAAGGAAGTGTCGTTTTACGACTTATACCTTGGCCTCATTCAACAAAGGGATCTAAGAACTAAGATCATCGTAAGTCTAGATCATCGTAAGTCTAGATCATCGTAAGTCTATGTTAACGACAGTATGGGAGCTACGATCATCTTAGTGCTGAGATCGATTTGTCGAACGAACCATGGAGATCATTTCAGTCCATTTTATACAATTAATGACAGGCATTGCAAACTCTTAATGAGTGACTATGCTATTACACAATATCGAAGCGACATTCCAGCAATACCACCGGTAGAATGTCATTAAGACATGGGCTTCACACATTGTATCCATGCTAGAAATTGAAAAGTGTGTCAAACATATTGAATTCTCCCGATTTATGAACGTACATTTCAAGTGAATCCCTCAATCATTATACAGAAACTCTGTATGTAGCCTTTGTTTATCACCATATGTGAACCCCTGTACGTAACTAAAGGTGAATCTCCGAGTAACTAAAGGTGATCCTCTGTATGTAACTAAAGGCTAAAGGTGAACCTCTGTATGTACCTAAAGGCTAAAGGTGAACCTCTGTATGTAACTAAAGGCTAAAGGTGAACCTCTGTATGTAAGTAAGGTGAACCTCTGTATGTAACTAAAGGTGAACCTCTATATATAACTAAGGGTGAACCTCTGTATGTAACTAAATGCTAAAGGTGAACCTCTGTATGTAACTAATTGCTAAAGGTGAACCTCTGTATGTAACTAAATGCTAAAGGTGAACCTCTGTATGTCACTAAAGGTGAACCTCCGTACTTCACTAGTCATTATACATAAACTTTGTATATCACCATATGTGAACCCCTGTACGTAACTAAAGGTGAATCTACGAGTAACTAAAGGTGAACCTCTGTATGTAACTAAATGCTAAAGGTGAACCTGACGTCAGACATGTCTTAGTTAACAAAACAATTAAATAGATAACAAGATAGTGTCATAAACGTAACTAATATAATCTCAAACCATTTTGAAATTAACCCACTTAATAAACTTCGAAGCAACATTCCAGCAATACCACCGGTAGAATGTCATTAAGACATGGGCTTCACACATTGTATCCGTGATAGAACTCGCAGTAAGACTATAACGCTTAACGATGACGCCCCTTGAACAACTAGGAACCTGACACTTCGTTTAGCACAAATCCGATCCCAGCTATACAATTAAGTCCTACATTTGTTACGGGTTGAATTTGTATTTCAGGGAAGAAACGTTTCTCTAATTCACCTTGTTGAATACGGGGAGTTCTAAATATCAAACAAATCCTCTGCACCTACGCATAGAATGGGATGAATTCTGAATCTACTCCTCAAGCTTTCAAAGCATATAACAAATGGTTGATTTGGATATTACATTTTATATGACAGTATTCTAGTAATATAGAATTGTATTATTGTGTAGCGAACATCCAATCCCGTAAGGGTGACGGGTGGCCAAGTAGCATACGAACATCTCAGTTTGTTAAGAGCCAGGATCCAATGAACGTGGGTTCGAATCAGGAATTTTCGAGTCATGATTCTTGGAGTTTGCAAAACCCGTGAAGATCCGGGTTAAAATAGATCTTCAGTAACCCATGCTTGTCGTAAGAGGCGACTAACGGGATCGGGTGGTCAGGCTCGCTGACTTGGTTCACACATGTCATCGGTTCCCAGTTGCACAGGTCGATGTTCATGCTGTTGATCACTGGATTGTCTGGTCCAAACTCGATTATTTACAGACCGCCGCCATATAACTGGAATATTGCTGAGACGGGGTAAAACTAAACTCACTCACTCAATAGGAGTTTGCAACACCATACCAGTTCTCATAGGTATCATCATTGGTAAGCGAGGGCCTGCATCAGTTCGAGTTTTCCGCCCACTTTCGAGTTGAAAACGGCATTGAACATAACTTAGTCTATCCTACCCCGAACGTCCTGTATTAACGATATAGGTATGTTATGAAAACTAATATCTTTAGGATCAAACGGGTACATTCATTTTCTAGCAGTTATTATATTCTGGATATGATGTTATCTCTTTTAAGTGAACTCTGAATATATGATAATTGAGTTAATTTGAGGTAATAATTTAAGGTCGAAAATGTAATTGCCTGATCACTTCCACGTTAGATTGCCCTCTTATTCATTAAATTGTATGGCTTCCGCTGCCATTTAGATGTATATATTATAACAACTACCAGCTGTGTGCATATTAAAAAGTGTGTCAAACATATTGAATTCTCCCGATCTATGAACGTACATTTCAAGTGAATCCCTCAGTCATTATACAGAAACTCTGTATGTAGCCTTTGTATATCACCATATGTGAACCCCTGTACGTAACTAAAGGTGAATCTCCGAGTAACTAAAGGTGAACCTCTGTATGTAACTAAATGCTAAAGGTGAACCTCTGTATGTAACTAAAGGTGAACCTCTGTATATAACTAAAGGTGAACCTCTGTATGTCACTAAAGGTGAACCTCTGTATATAACTAAGGGTGAACCTCTGTATGTTACTCAATTCTAGAGGTGAAACTCTGTATGTAACTAAATGTGAACCTCTGTATGTTACTGAATTCTAGAGGTGAACCTCTGTATGTTACTGAATTCTAGAGGTGAACCTCTGTATATAACTAAAGGTGAACCTCTGTATGTTACTGAATTCTAGAGGTGAACCTCTGTATGTAACTAAATGTGAACCTGTGCATGTAACTAAATGTGAACCTCTGTATGTAACTAAAGGTGAACCTCTGTATGTAACTAAATGTGAACCTCTGTATGAAACTAAATGTGAACCTCTGTGTGTAACTAAAGGCTTAAGGTGAACCTCTGTATGTAACTTATGGCTAAAGGTGAACCTCTGTATGTAAATAAGGTGAACCTCTGTATGTAACTAAAGGTGAACCTCTGTATGTCACTAAAGGAGAACCTCTGTATATAACTAAGGGTGAACCTCTGTATGTAACTTATGGCTAAAGGTGAACCTCTGTATGTAAATAAGGTGAACCTCTGTATGTAACTAAAGGTGAACCTCTGTATGTCACTAAAGGTGAACCTCTGTATATAACTAAGGGTGAACCTCTGTATGTAAATAAGGTGAACCTCTGTATATAACTAAAGGTGAACCTCTGTATGTTACTGAATTCTAGAGGTGAACCTCTGTATGTAACTAAATGTGAACCTATGTATGTTACTGAATTCTAGAGGTGAACCTCTGTATGTTACTGAATTCTAGAGGTGAACCTCTGTATATAACTAAAGGTGAACCTCTGTATGTTACTGAATTCTAGAGGTGAACCTCTGTATGTAACTAAATGTGAACCTCTGCATGTAACTAAATGTGAACCTCTGTATGTAACTAAAGGTGAACCTCTGTATGTAACTAAATGTGAACCTCTGTATGAAACTAAATGTGAACCTCTGTATGTAACTAAAGGCTTAAGGTGAACCTCTGTATGTAAGTAAGGAGAACCTCTGTATATAACTAAAGGTGAACCTCTATATATAACTAAAGATGATCCTCTGCATGTAACTAAAGGTGAACCTCTGTATGTAACTAAAGGTGAAACTCTGCATGTAACTAAAAGTGAACCTCTGTATGTAACTAAAGGCTTAAGGAGAACCTCTGTATGTCACTAAAAGTTAACGTCCGTACTTAACTAGTGAGTGAATATGGATTTACGACGCTTTTAGTAATATTCCATCAATACCAAGGCGGGGGACACCAGAAAAGGGCTTCATACATTGTACCCATGTAGGGAATCGAACCAGGGTCTTCGGCGTGACGAGCGAACGCTATAACCACTAGGCTACCCCACCGCCCCCGAACTTA